TGGCCAACATGGCAAAACCCCGTCTCTACTAAAAATACAAAAAAATTAGCCAGGCATGGTAGTGGGCGCCCATAATCCCAGCTACTCGGGAGGCTGAGGCAGGAGAATCGCTTGAACCCAGGAGGCAGAGGTTGCTGTGAGCCAAGATTGCACCATTGCACTCCAGCCCGGACAACAGTGCAAGACTCTGTCTCAAAAAAAAAAAAAAAAAATTTGGATTCCCTTTATACTGGTGGTTTCTCCTAAAATGTGTCTACATGTGCAGGCATCATCTAGGCCTCTTCATCTCTCACTGTGGGAGTTGCACTTTGGGAGAACAATGCAAATGCTGATACTCTGGCTACTGCTATTGCTGTAGATCTTTATCTCTGACTTAGGAGTCTTGTGTCTTCTGCCAACACCTGTGAAACTATAGCAGCTAACTCTTTAGCTTGGAGGCAAAGTAACATGAGACCTTTCACAGTTCTTGAGAGTTATTATATAAAAATTCTGAATCCACAGGGCCAGGCAGAACTTGTGCTATCACTAAATGTTTGCTATCACTAAATGTTTGCTTTAGTCTGCTCTTTCTCATCTCAACTATTTTCCTCCAGGTTTGTGCAATGGCATCAGCTAAGCTAAATACCCTTCTTCAGACCAAAGTGATTGAAAATCAGGATGAAGCGTGTTACATTTTAGGGAAGCTGGAACATGTTCTAAGTCAATCAATCAAGGAACAGACTGAAATCTACTCGTTCCTGATTCCCCTTGTTCGTACCCTGGTTTCCAAAATTTATGAACTTCTCTTCATGAACTTGCACCTCCCTTCTTTACCTTTTACCAATGGTAGCTCCTCATTTTTTGAAGATTTTCAAGAATATTGTAATTCAAATGAATGGCAAGTTTACATTGAAAAATATGTAAGTTTTATCTTTTTTGATCAAGATTTTTCTGCTAATTTACCACTTTTATACAGGTGAAGTCATATATTAAATTTATGTATCTTTTTTTTTGGTAAGATTGTACCTTATATGAAGCAGTATGAAACTCATACATTTTACGATGGTCATGAGAACATGGCACTTTATTGGAAGGATTGTTATGAAGCTTTAATGGTAAATATGCATAAACGAGACCGGGAAGGAGGGGAAAGCAAGCTCAAATTTCAGGTAAAAAGTAAATGTTTTAATATCTGGCTCTTCATGTTGATTTTAGGCATTTAATATTGAATAAGAGTAATACAGGGCCCAAATTTTAAAACAAGCAGTATTTCTATTATTTGTCTAAAAATTATCTTAGGATTAGAAGAAAAACAGCTAATCAGTAACAAGGTCAATTAATAGGAAAATGTTCTATATATAGTGATTATGTAAAAAGTTTATTAAGCTGATAGTACATTAATAGATCCCTCTAAGGAGGCTGGATACATACCGTCACTTAGAGGGAAATTTGCATGACATAATGTTTATATTAGAAAAGAAGAAAGGCATCAAATTTTAAGTTTCTACCTTAAGAAACTAGAGAAATGGGTGGGCGTGGTGGCTCACACCTGTAATCCTAGCACTTTTGGGAGGCCAAGGCAGGTGAATCACCTGAGATCAGGAGTTCGAGACCAGCCTGGCCAACATGGCAAAACCCCGTCTCTACTAAAAATACAAAAATTAGGTGGGCATGGTGGTGCGTGCCTGTAATCCCAGCTACTAGGTGGGCTGAGGCAGGAGGATCGCTTGAACCTGGGAGGCAAAGGTTGCAGTGAGCGGAGACTGTGCCACTGCACTCTAGCCTGGGCAACGGAGTGAGACTCTGCCTCAAAAAAAAAAAACGAAACCAGAGAAACAAAATTAATCCAAATCCTTATAAGCAAAATCAAGGAATAAATAAAGAACAGAAGTAAATGAAATTGAAATCAGAAAAATAATAGAGAAACTCAATGAAACCAAGGTCCAGTTCTTCAAAATATCATTAAAACTGATAAACTTCTAGCAAGATTGACAAAGCAAAAAAAAAAGAGAGAGAGATGTGAAAAATTTTTTATACCAGGAAAGAAAGAGGCAGTATCACCGCTGACTCCACGGACATCAACATTGTAATAAGGGACTACTACAAACCACTCTATGCACATAAATATGACAACTTAAATGAAATGGATCAATTTTTTGACAGACACAAGTTTCCAAAACTAGTTCAAGAATAAGTATATAACCTGAATAGTCCTGTATTTATTAAAGAAATATAATTTATAGTTAAAAACCTTCATAAAGGGAAAACTTCAGGCCCAGATAGTTTCACTGGCAAATTCTACCACACATTTAATGGAGAAATTATGCCACTTTCTCAGTCTCTTCAAAAATAGAAAAGTAGGAACGTTTCTAGCTCCTTTGATGAGGGTAATATTACCCTCCTAGTGAAATCATAGAAAAATAATACAAGAAAACTACAAACTAGTGTCTATCAGGAACATAACTACAAGACAAATCTAGCAATATATTTTAAAAATAATACATTAGATCAAGCACAGAGGCTTATGCCTGTAATCCCAGCACTTTGGGAGGCCAAGGCGGGAGGATCATTTTAGGTGAGGAGTTGGAGACCAGCCTGGGTAACGTAGGGAGACTCCATCTCTACAAAAAATTTAAAAATTAGCTGGGTGTGGTGGTATGCACCTGTAGTCCCAGCTACTGAGGAGGCTGATGTGGGAGGAACACTTGCGTACAGGAGGTCAAAACTTTAATAAGCCATGATCCCACCACTGCACTCCAGTGTAGGTGAGCAGCAAGACTCGGTCTCAAGAACAATAATAATGGTAATAATAATATATGACACAACAAAGTGGAATTTATCCTCAGGATGCAGGGCTAGTTCAACATTTGAAGATTAATTAATATACTGGACCACATTAGTAGTCTTAAGAAAAACTATGTTATCATATCAGTAAATGCAGAAAAAGCGCTTGAAAAATTAAACATCCATTTGTAATCAAAGCTCTCAGCAAACTAGGAATAGAAAGGAAATACTTAAACCTTTACAAAAATCCTACCACTGGCTTCATATTCAGAGGTGAAAAACTGAGTACTTTTCCCTAAGACAGGGAACTAGGCAGGGATGTTCATTCTCACCACTCTTAGTTACTGTTGTACCACAAATCTTAGCAAATATAGTAAAAATAGAAAAAAAATATAAAAACGTGTACACATTGGGAAGGAAGAAATAAAACTATCTAAAGATAACATGATTCTCTGTGTAGAAAGTCTTAAGGACTCTATTATACCAGTAAATTACTATAAATAAGCAAGTTTAGCAAGGCTGCAGGACATAAAATCAATACACAAAATTTAATCATATTTCTGTTCACTAGCAATGAATAAGGAATGGGAAACAGATTTTCTAAAAATACTTTTACAATAGCTCTAAAAATAATAAAATGCGTAGGTATCAATCTAACAAAATATATACAGCATCTGCTGTATATATGCCAAAAACTAAAAAACACTTGAACAAATTAAAGAGACACTGTATTCATGAATTGGAAGACTCAGTAGTCTTTAAGTAATTTTAAGGTGTATATATTTGGTTAAGCCAAAATGAGAACATTGTTCCTTTCTTAACTTAAAATATATTGTAAACATCTTTCCATGCCGGGCTGCAAAGTATTCCATTGTTTTATATATTAGTACATTTAAATGTATTTCCCATTGTTAGACTCATTTACTTTTTTCTTTAATCTTTTTATTTATTATAAATAGTATTGAACATCCCTATAGTTATATTTTTGTGGCTATCCGAGATGATTTCCCTAGGATAAGTGGAATTACTAGTATGTAGTGCTTATGATAAATACTGTTACATTTCCCTGAGAGAAGTTCTACCAGTTTGTATTCTCATCAACACTTTCCCTGTAACTTTATCTTTAGGTTTTCTAGAAATACCTAATTTAAGAATATCCTTATATTATTGAACCTCAAAACTGTGAATTGATGTTTAATTACCATGGAGCTGTCATGACTTCCTCAGTTTTCTCAGCAATGATCTGTTTTAAATATTTAGTAACATTGTATTCCAAAACAATTGATTTCCTACTTAGTCTAATAATAGTTAACAATAACAATTGTAATAACGACAACCACAAGTTATTGAGAACTTGCTATTTTTCTAGTACTATATTAAGTACTTTAAATGTTCATCTTTATTATGACAGTTATTGTTAACCTCATTTTACACATGAGAGGACACTGAGCCTCAGAGAATTAGCTAAGAGAAACAACTAAGCTAAAGATAAAGTTAGATAAGAAAAGTAGCTCAAAAAGCTAAGATTTGTATCCAGGTCTGACTCCAAGGCATATATTTTTAACCACACATTGCTGTAGTGCCTCTCTAAAACTGTTTAAAATTTTAACTGTTCTTTTTAACATAATTCAGTGCTAGTTTGTTTGAAACAAATTAATGCTGTCATTTTAGTTTCTAATAGATGAATATTGATGTGAGTTAGATAAGCTAGTCTTTGGTTTTTTCTTTGAAACTTATGAACATTAATTTCACAGATTAAAGTTATGTCTTGGTAGTATACAATGTGATTACCCTTCTTTCTACTTTCTTTCCTCTTGAGTCTCATTTTAGATGCGTTGTAAATCAAAAGATCCCCTAGGAAAATTATTTTACTTGACAGTAAGTAGGAGGTTAATTATCTTGAGCTTCAAAGTTCTGTGTTGAGGCACTTTGCATTTTTGAAGTTCTTCACATGTTTATTGTTGGTTGGTTGTTTTTTTAAGTTTTAAAAAATATAAATAGATCATAGGTAAAATTATATCATACTTCATCAAAGAAAATGATTCTGATGGAATAAGAAAAGCCTGTTGGTTACTAGCTTCTGTCCCATAATGCAAGATTTTGTTGGTCAAAAATGTTAAATTATGGAATTAAAATGTAAATATACCTGTAAATATATGAGTCAATGAACTTAACTTTTATTGTTTCTTTCAGGAACTGTTTGTGGAGCCATTTAATCGAAAAGCACGCCAAGAGAACCTCAGGTATAATAATATGCTTAAACAACTTAGCAGTCAACAGTTAGCCACTCTTAGACGCTGGAAAGCAATACAGCTCTATCTTACATGTGAAAGGGGACCTTGGGCTAAAAGGTAAGAGGATATAATTTTATTAGGTACTCTTTTTTCTTTACAACTCTGGTCTAGAAATTTTTGAACCAGTGCCCCTTGCACTCCAATTTTTTAAATGTTCAATTTATAAAAGGGTGCTTTTAATCTTATTTATTGTCTTTTTGTGAATTGTAGGTCTGGGATGATTCGAGGTTGTATTGTTTCTTATCTTACAGTTATATGCCTTCCTTTGACCCTTTGATATGAAGTTTATTGGACTTTAGACTCTTAGAGAGTGTTAAACCAATTTACTTCTGTCTTTCTGATACCACCTCTTTGAGCTAGGGCTAATGCTGTTGTATGTTTGAATATTTTACAATTCATTTAATTGATCCGCAGTCACTTCTGTTTTGCTTAATTATATTATCTCTTTTTTTTTTACAGCCCTTTTAAAAATGTGGTAAAATGTACATAACATAAAATTTATCCTCTTAACCATTTTAAAATGTACAGTTCGCTGGCACTGAGTATATTCGTAATGTACGATCATCACCACTGTCTAACTTCGTAACATTTTTATCACCTAAAAAGGAAATCCTGTACTTATTAAAAAGTCACTCCTTATTATCCTCTGTCCCACCCCCTAGCAACCACCAATCAGCTTTTTGACTGTATTATTTGCCTGTTCTGGTTATTTCATATAAATGGAATCATACAATATGTGGCTTTTTGTGTCTGCCATCTTTCACTTAGCATAATGTTTTCATTATGTAGTAGCATGTATCAGTACTTTATTCCTTTTTATGGCTGAATGGTATTCCCTTATAAGGATATATCATCTTTTCTTTATCTAGTCAACAGTTGGATGGGCATTTGGGTTGTTTTCCACTTTTTGGCTATTTTGATTAGTGCTGCTGGTAACATTTGTGTACAAGTGTTTGAACACTTGTTTTTAATTCTCTTGAGTATAAACTATGAATGGAATTACTGGGTTGTATGATAATTCTGTGTTTAATTTGCTAAGGAACTGCCAAACTGCTTTCCACAGCAGCTGCATCATTTTATATTTTCACTAGCAATGTGTGAGGGTTCCAATTTCTCCGCATTCTTACCAACACTTGTCATTTCCTGATTTTTTATTATGACCCTCCTAGTGGGAGTAAAGTGGTATTTTATGATTTCATATTCCATTTCCTAGTGATTAATGATGTCTAGCATCTTTTCATGTGCTTGTTGGTCATTTTTACATCTTCTTTGAAGAAATGTCTGCTCAAGTCCTTTGCCCATTTTTAGATTGATTTTTTTGTTGAATTGTAAGAGTGTATATATAAATATATGTATATGTATATACTTAATAATAGACTCTGATCCTATATATGATTTTCATATATGTAGGTTGTCTTTTCACTTTATTAATAGCAGCCCTTTTGATACAGGAAAGTTGTTAGTTTTAATGAAGTCCAGTTTAATCTATTTTGTTGTTGCTTTTTGGTTTTTTTTGGTGTCATATCTAAGAAACCATTGCCAAGTCCAAGGTCATGAAGTTTTACCCTTACCTTTTCTCCTAAGAGTTTTATAGTTTTAGCTCTTATATGTAGATCTTTGTCCACTTGCAATTATATTGTCTTTTTTTGTAGTAAAATTATTTTTTATTTTGAAAACTATTGGAAATATAAACCATCTGTATAGTTAGTTAAGAACTCCCATTTAACAATGAAAGAGTAAAGGTATCAAGCTGTAAGTCTAAAAGTCAATGTTCAAATCTTACTTCTGCTACCTGTAAACCTCATGTCACCTTGGGCAAATTATTTAGTCTGTTTTAGATTCCTCGTGTATACAGTACAGCTACGCGTACTCACTTTGGTTCTATCAGAGTTATTTGGATTAAATGAAAT